TGACAGATAATATTGACTCTTATGATTTCTTGATTGACAACAGTCTTCTAAGTCAAGGCAATAATGTTTCCTGCACATCGAGATGAAAATAGTTATCTCGATTTGGACCAAATACATTTCAATCAAATGACTCACTTCTGATTGAAGTTTATTGTCATTTAAAGTTGATGATCACTAAGATGAGTAAAAAAGTGTTGAAATATTAATCATTAAGGAGTGTTGTTATAGAGTGTTGTTGTTAGAATTTTTATATTTCACAAAATTTCGATAAGCGAAATTCCAAGTACATCAAAGAAAACCACATAAACGATATTTACGTAAACGTGTTACTTCTTTTGTGATGTAGATCGCTGACCAGGGATCACCAATCAATTCTGTTTTGAACTCTTGATTTCGGTTGTTTGACAAAGCTGTTCCTTCTCCTGGTACCCACCTCTTTACATTTGGTGCCATGTATTATTTGGTTAATTGCCTTTCTTTTTGCCTTTAGGATCCAATACAGATATTTATACTGATTAGCAACATAATGGTTTCCATATTTTTTGTCCTACCAATCTTTGGCGCCTTTTTTCTCCCTGACTAGAAACTGGTTTGTTTTTCGACACAGTGGATTATTTCTAACGGTTTATAAAAAATAGATTTCAAGTATCTGTATTGTTTTGCTTAGGTTTTTGTGGGTCCTTCAAGTTTTGTTTCTTTCTAGTGGTGCTGTTTTAGGCTTGGAGAAAAATTCTTTAACTTTAGTCTTGTGTGACTGAAAGCGTCATTTATTAATTGCAACGTTCTATGCTTCACAAAACACGACCAATCATCGATGTTGCTCAATGAAAGAAAAACAAGCACAAGTTTCAGACCGTTATGTTCAATGTACACCAAATTCATTAACCTACATTTTGAAATAGGAACCCTGCTCAGTTTTTCCACTTTACTGCAAGTACAGTATATGTGACTACAATCGAAATAATTTATTAATAATATATATGTATGTATATATTTAGGCGAGGTTAGTTGGAACAAGCTTTAGTTGGTTAATATTTTAGATAATAACATTATATTGATGGTTCATTGTCCTTGTCATTATTTAAATTTGAACTTCATTAACCCATACAGAATATATGGTTGCAAGTTTATGAAATTCCATTTACTTTTGAGATATTTTTTACAAATCTTTACTTACTTGAAACTCACATTGTTGTCAGTAAAAGACTTTTTAAGTGTTAAGAGTTTCAGATTCTTTAAATAACTGTATTACAATCTCATCATTGAGGAATAAACATGAATAAATAAAACTATCTTGATTTTCAGACGCATATGAATATGAGACGCTGGCTTTAGAAACCTAGTATGGTGTATATTAAAAAATTCAATCCTTAGAAGGGCTGGTCTTCATTTCGCTTTTATTATTATCCAAAGTAACTGAAGAATTTCCGATTATCCAATTATCACAGAAAAGAACAAGAAACAGATTTTTCAAAACAGAACAGAAAAAAAATGCAATCTTGATAAAAATATCAACATAAAAGTAACAAGTATTATTTTTATCAAGACAGTGATTTACAACCTGGATGTTTAGCACTTAAAAATATTTCCAACATGCTGACAAGAAATCATGTTATTCCTTGCTCCAGTTAATCGGTACGATTATTAGGCTTAATAAACTGAAAGCGTGTGATCATTATTACATGATTTATCAGTACATATTTTACTCATTTGGAAGCATAAAGAAGCAGTGATTTTTTTACTTACATCTCTTTGTACATTACCACCTTAAATGCAAATATTTATAAATGATAAGTTAAGTGATTGCAGGTGCTCCTTCAAGGCCATTAACTGTAAATACAATATTGTTAACAAGGCAGCTGTAAAGGAAGTGAACAAATGCCCACATTGATGAAAAACTGATCGTTAAAATGTCGGCTTTATGTGAGCGTAGAATTACTGAGCCCTAAAAATAGGAAAATTCTGGAATAGGAACTTATTTAAACTTAGATTCTTATCGTAGCATTTCATGTTGCTTAGCATTTTAGTTTCAGTAGCGGTCATTTGTATTTGTAATTCTAATCTTTATTTACCTGAGTTTTGTTACGTTATTTTATGTTACTTACAACTAGTGGAACTAAAAATATATCTTGGAAAAACTTTCTGAAAATGAAAACTATATTATTATTACTTCCTTCTAAAACTAGTTATCAGATAGTTTTTACTGATATCCTCTGAGACTCCCTTAAACATAAAGTACTGATTAATGCCTCTTACATGCTTCTAGATAGTTATTATAGTTGATAAGTTGAATTTTTATCTTGTTTTTAAATCACTAAAACAAAGTATCTCTCAGGTTTAAGTGTGCTGAATTTGTAGAACTTAGATAGGACATCCAACATGACTTTATATATATTAATTAGCTAATTTATACTAAATTCTACACTGATTGTCGGTTGAATATAAAATTTAATGAACTGAGAAACAAATCAAGTCAATTTGAATACCAGTTTATTATCGCACTTAAAGAGTATCGGTTGGAATGCTTATACGTTGAAACGTACTTTGAAATGAATATTGATATCTTTGAGCTAATTTTGTCAACTACTCACTATTAGAAATAGCAATCTGTTTAGAATTTAGGTGAGTTATATTTTGTGTTTACTTTGACTTAATGAGTATTGTTACTTATTTTAAAGAATAATAATCATATAATTTAAAGTTCACTCTTTTAACAATGACTTATGAAAACGGGAATTTAATAAATTTAATTACAAGTTAATTATTATTCTCTTGTCATCTGGAAATAACCTTAGCGTTTCTGAAGTAACCCATTTGTAATTAGGTTCAGATAGTTTGGCTTGAATATTTACTAATAACCATTATTGAGTAGTAAAATCGCAGTCAGAAATTATTCAGCATTTTACGACCGACTAACTAACAGTCATCGCTTTAATCTTATGAAAGATTTATACATGGAAAAAGTTGCAAGGCTAAGCTTCATTTTCTAACTGTTACTGGATTCTGCGTTTAAACTAAATCATAAAATGAGTTAATGAACATCGGAAAATTGATTTGAGTTTATTTTAAACTAACGAATTCACAGTCGTTTGCTTAGATTCAAAAATCCTATTGAAAATCTTTTGCAGTATGAAAATGAATATTGCTCAATTGTTACAAAATCTTTATCGTCATATTTAGCGATGCGTAACAGATAGTAATGATATCAATTGTGATTCTATACAAATGTAATTCTGAGATACTGGTGTTGATAATCTCCTATAAGAAGGTCTGGTGATCGTTTCTATTTCCATAAATACACAGAAACTGACTTTGTGATTCTTCAACAACAGTCAATATTTATATTCATCTTAATCTCCTAAATTGAATAATAAATAATTATAATGAAAAAATTAATGCATGTTAAGGTTACTGTTACTTTTCAATTGATTCTGGTTTTACAGTTCTAGTTTTAGTAAATTATTCTAATTTGATAAAAGCTTGAAAAAAAACCTTCGATGCGTAGTTCATTAGTCACTGATTAGCAGTAGCACTTTGTAGTCGATCTTAAGTATTGTAAAATCAATAAATCAAAGCTGAATTGGCACTAGTCTATCATGCACGATCATGAACTAAAGTGAAAATCTAATCTACTAATATTGTCAGATAATTTGAGTTGTTGACTTATTACAATCATAGTGACGACCACAAAAATTCATTTTTCCACAAGCTATGCTTAAACAAATTATACTTTTTTGAAACTAGCGATTTCAGTCAGAGATAAATATGACACAGAAACAAGAACATTGGAAAAGTATTCGGTGTATCACTGTTCTTCCGGTAAGAAGTTTACTCCTATTACTTATTATAAGATTATTGCAAACATCCTTTTCGTCCCTCTTTAGGGAAATTTAACATGTCACTGTTGCGTACACAAAGAGTTAAGGTATAATTAATTTTGCGTTTACAACTTCAATTAGTGTGAGTGTTCTTCATATAAAGTCATATTCACACTTAAATAAAGGATATCCATCTACTACGTACTTATATGTATAAGAAATCTATTTCTAGTACGACTTTTAATTATATGCTTCAATTCTACAAGTTTAATTTTACATGCTTGCAAGAAGTTTTGTCAGAATAAAAATGTTAGTGCTAAACGTTAAAAGTTTTAATCCATCTCTCATTATAGTCTACTGCCTGTCTGTCTTGTTTGAATTATATACCTGTTAAAATCAACCACTAGCTCACCTATGAAACCATTTCTATCCCCTTTCTTTTCAGCTTGTTTACCTGAATACATACAAACATACAAGAAACTACTATTTTACAATTCATTTTCTTACACTAAACCTGTTCGACTTATCTTTCTTCAAGGGATGTAACAATACAATGATCCATTTTTATTAATAATTAAGCAACAATTTTTGCACAACAGAGAACTAACGTGAATTTACTAGCCAATCACATCTCTCTAAAATTTTTTCTCTAATAGCAATCCTAATGAGTAGTCCGTTCAGATTAATGAACTCCATTAAAATATGAATGTATCTATTTATTTTTACCTTTAGTCTAATTTCTTTCGCTAACTATACATCTTTCCATTTAACATCATCAATATCCTATTTGAATTATTTGAGAAAAATCAGGACTATTCAATAATAAATTTATAATTTGAAAATAAAACGGTCTTTTAGAATTATTCAAGACATAATAATTTAATACATTGTCGTATGACACCTAGCTGTAATTTTGTGAAATTTTCTTTTAATTCATGTAAAAAATTTTATTAATTGAACGAATTGAACAACGTTGACAAACTTGAAAATGAGATACTACACTTAATTACTTGTATACATATATAACAATAAAAGGATGATCATTACGGAAAAGTTATATTTGCTGTAAATTCATTTATGCAAAATGTAAGTTGATATTAATAGTTATTAAACGGTGATCAGTGATTGGTAATTTTCGTCAACCTAAAAATGTATTTTTCAAATAGATCTTTTTGTGAGTATTATTATTCTACGGTAAGTTAGTAGAGAGATCAATAAAAGACTATTCATCTGAGAAGTCTTTGAAGTACATTTCGACTAAACTAACCGTATCGCATTAATTTTCATTTATTGTGACCTACAAGTAGGTAGAATACATTTATATTTATAATTAGTCTGAATTAAACACAGAAGCTCATTCATGTTTTATAGATTATAAAACTACATGATACATATTTTATTAGTAATAGGATAATTTATTATATCTGAACATAATGAACAATCTTTTTAAGTTTAAGTAGGAATTTAAATGACGCATGAACAATAAATTCTAAAATATTGTTACTCGGATTTGATGGTGAAAATTCAGATAACCTTATGTATTATTATGAGTTAAATTCCAACAAACTTTAAAGCTAGAGAGACCTAATTGATTTATCAAAATTTTAGAAGTGAATAAACTATGAAATCTGTTAATCTTATGAACATCAAACCTGTTGAATCCATTTTGATATATTAGGAGGAAGTCAATGTATGTTACAAAATATGACACATGGGTTTCAACATTTACTAAATTTTCAGCAAGTTCATTATACGAGATTTCGTACAAAAGTGATGAAAATGAGAATTTTCGAAATTTGATTGTAAGGAATCACATTTCTCATAAAAGTTACGGTATTTATGAGAGGCAATATCATCATTTAATAATCCACGTTTGAGTAAAAAATAAAGTTATCAAGCGATCTAGATCATTTGATAAATTGTTTTGGATTGATACATTTTCAATGTTTATTTCCAGCTTGGATAAATTTAAATATAATAAAACATGAAATCACTTATTATTTAGTTTACTTGGGTAGACATTTTTTAGAATAAAGTCAGCAAACACAACTGATTTCATTTTTACTGTCAGTAAGTAGGTAATTAAACTGATAATGTTGATTTATAATGATACAACCATTCATTCTTTATCCTATTTTCAGATACATTTTACATTTAAGTGTACTGAATTTCAAATCGCAAAGCACTAAATCAACATATTATTGTGCGAAAATAAAAACGTGTTAGGTTTCATTACTATAGGGCACAGTTTTACTCTTAACCATTTAATTGAAGTTATCGGATATTTTATTCTAGCAGTTTTTAATCTCCACAACCGCTTAACATCATCATTCAGTTCAATCTCTATGTTTTGAGTATTTTTTCGGGTCAAAGTTATGGTGCAAATTTCAATCTTATTTACAGAACAAATTAATACATGTATAACTAACTAGTATAAATATAAAATAATTTCTTCTGGTATATTCAGCGATTATGTTATATAGAATAAGTCATAAAACCCAGGTATCATTTTAAAGAATACTGGATAATATGTTTATAGTAAACGTTGATCTACATGGATTTCGAATATATTCGTTGTTCTTGACCTTGATGGACTCATAGATAAATGATATACAAAATATCAAAGCCTTCACAAGTAGATTAGATATGCCACAATTACTCTTACTTTCACTTGAATCAAAAACTTCTAGTCCACATCTAAACCTTATAATGGTTAGAAGATACAAGGACAGAGGCAGTTTCATCATTCAGATGTATGCTAACTTGTTTCAGTAAAGGTGGGTCTCTAGACTTGTAACTTCTGATTGAGTCATGCATTGAAAGGCGTTTTCCTTAGTTTTAACAATGCCATTAGTCTGTGAGAAAATAATTCTGCGAGACAATCAGTTTGTGAAAACGGGAAAATGCAGGAAAATAACAAAGATGAGGAATTTGAATAGTTCATTCTCAAGCTTGCAGGGCAACAAAAGTATACTGAAGCTTTATAGGTAGAGCTATTGAATACCTTGTTTTACGGAACACAATTCGCTTTTGATAAATTCTGATAGTTTACCAACTTTTATATTTTTCAAGCGGTACACATATTAATTGAAGTGTAGATTTATTCAAAACAGTTGGAATCTAGTGAACCAGTTTAGTTCAGCTTTAAGAAACTAAGCCAGTTTTTTTGACTAATGGTTTCCGCTCTACATTAATGATTCATTTATCTTAAAATCTTTAAGTATACCGAGGGACGGTCGGACTTTACGAGTAATAAGTAATATTTAATGTTATGTCATGCGAACTGTTTTCGACCACATATTCTGACTAGATTCATGAATAGGAATAAATCTTAAGCAGTGAATATTCTTATGTACATTGATAAATCCTGTACATAATGAAAAAAGTAATAAAGAAAAACAAGAAATCTTTACTACTTATTTCATAATGGAAATGGTAACATTTTCTGATTCAGTCGAATAAGAGAGGGCACCTATACAAGTTCATGCAAATATATGTGTTTTTTTTCATTTCATTTCATCATTATACTTACACGTATAAATTTGAATATGAGATTATAACTCAAAAGGAAGATATTCAATCACTTGACAATCGAAACGGTAAGAAAAAAGGAAACCAAACAAAAATACTCACCATTTTAAGTGATGTTTATGAAAATTTTCTAAACTTTAAAAAACGTGACAGTCTTACTAACCCAGATATTGGATACAATCATTATGATTTTGTTGAGTAACACTTCACAACTGAAATGAAACTTTATTTACAAAATACAGGATATTAAAATTCCAATACATCCTTTAGAATAATTGATTTTTAGTTAAAACTAAAAAAAGAGTTTTATAAAATTCAGGGAAGTTTTTTGCAATATGATATTATTACTCTCCACAGAAGTGGATTTTAAAAAAAAAATTTATTTGAGTGTTTACATCATTAACAGATTTATATAATTTTCCCTAAAGATTGTACAGATCGAAATATCACATATTAAACTTCTTAAATCTGTTTCATTGTCAATTTTTATTAAGTTGTATTTACAACGGGTTTTAATGAAGATCCTTATGACGAAAACCATTTAAATTGCACTCGAAGTTATAAGAATTTTTAAATTTTGTCAATGTTATTTGTTCAGAAGACGCTGACTATATTTTCAATCTGATCTGATATCCCATCTGGTATTCATGTAATTATTATGCCTTTTGTGATTCTCATCAATACATAACTTGAACAATCTCCATATGAAGAAACGATGTGATTGATTTAAAATCATACTTTCAGAGTAATTCATACAGTGACTATATCATGTTTGACAATATCCCACTTAACACTTACCATCATTTTAATAAAAATGTTTCAAATTTATTACTTTGCTGGTAACCCATGTATCCTGAGAAGAAAACTAAAACCGAGTTTGTTTTAATAAATGTGTTTCAACTCTTTAGATCAGCAATCGAACGAAATGAAATCTTGAGCACTAAATACATATTTATTTTTAACAATCGATTGATTATAATATTTAGCAGTAGTGTGAATCTAACTAAAATTTTTTAATAACTCAAGTAAAACATCATTTACATAAGTGATTGGTAGAGCATGCTTCAAGAAAGTTTAAGATTTTAGATTAAGTATTTGTTTTAAAAACTTAATAAATGTTTGAAAATTTTTTACCATGTAAAAAGCTATTACATGTAAACTTTATATTGATTTGAATTTCTCTTCAGACTAGGGGTTGTAATATAAAAATAGTTGAAAACATGAGATACTGGCGTTAATATACATAAACTTAACCTAATCTTTATTATTGTGGACAAATATTACTCTTATATTTTGATTGTTAAGGTGTACTATTTTTCTACAAGTGTACCAATCTCTCTACAAATAAATCAGTTTAAGAAGATTTAATTAGTTTTAGAAATTTATTGTTACAATAGACTAGTTATTATTGTATTATCTATTTAATTTGATACATTTATAATTTCATAGACTCGAAAAGGTTTTAAAATGATAATTAATTTACTGTGTTTGATGATTTTCATCTAAAATATATTAACTAAAATATTCCACGAATAATTCAAAAGGCTGATCATTCGAACCAAAGTAGTAACGTTCAATCATCAAATTATTTTGTGAAACACCGATTATTTTATCAGTAACTTATATATTTATCTCTTATAAACTCATTATCAATTCTTTCAACTAAAAAGAATTATGTTATATACTCGTAATAATTTGAATCACTTTATTATTAGATAACGAGTAATAGCAATGAAAAAATGTTTGATTTACGGCGGAATTAAATGTTTAACTTTAAAGTAGTCGTGATGTTCTTTTCTCAACGCAGAATCATAGTAAAATTTCACTACTGAAACCTTGAATTCCTCATTTCAACTTTTAAATTACATTTTAGATTTGTTGATCTCTGTGCTAACGTCGGTTTACATATATGTTTCAGTCATAGGTATATTGAATGAAAAATATTCTGGCTATTTTGTACTCCGTGGCATTATATCAAGTTTAATTACATTAAAACTGCATTATATCTGCGGTTCTGTATATCGCTATCAAACAACAAAGTAATATGATGAAGGAATAACTGGATGTCTAGGTTAAGAAGATTAATGTCATTTAGAACAAGCAAAGATGGATAGTGATCCGCCATAGAACTCGAGGAACTCGTTTTATACAATTGGAGATTTCTCAATTGGATGCGTAGGCCCTTCTTTTAATAACTAATTTTTCCAAGCAGTGATTTTAACGCATTTAAGCATGCATACACTCTCACTGTTTCAATCGATTGATTGTTCACATTGAATGGGAAGCCAGAACCATGAAAGTTTCGATATCATACGGTGTTTGTTCGCATGAATCGTATTGTTGAGAACATATAATTTAAAAAATTGCGGAACTCAATTTCTTAAAACTTGGACATTCTTAAATTATGTGAGCAATTTTCCACCTGCGTAGTTGTTGTTTAAATTATTCAATTTTTTTAAAATGACATGTGATTTGACGAGACAAATTTCTGACCCTATAATAATACTTTGAAATTAAATATTTTTCATCGTTTCAATCGTAATACCTCTCATTTCAATTTTATTTAATCCTTATGAAATCAATAAATTTACTACACTGAGTTACAAACATTTTTCTGTAACTAATAACTACCGTATTCTAAATTTAGTACTAATCTGCAGACA